TGTGTGTGTGCGTGTGACAGTGAGCAAAGAGTCCGACATACATGAATGAACTAAAAGGGTAATCGTGTCACATACCACCCTCCCTAATTCGTCTGACAGCCATTTCTCGACCTTCCGCACATATGTCACGCTGTCGTTCTGTGATAAGAATTCCTGTGACATGAAATAAAGAGCGCCTCATCAGTGGGAGTACATCATAGAGGTGACTACAGGTGTAGTTAGAATGTAGTACTATGTTTATTGCATGGACACGATCTGCACGAGCCTTGAAGTAACACCGGTATTCAAATACCGATGCCTGGGTTAGTATATGTTGTTAGGTGCATGCTGAATGCGTGTTGACATATATACATACTCGTGCTCTCCCCTGCTACACCACTACACTCGACATTGACCCGCCAATTCAGAGGAGATGTCCACTATTGCTAGTACGTATGCAGAGCAAGGCATAAGGAAACAGAGTGTCTAAGTATATACACCACTTTCTTGGCTGAAAACTGAGCAAAAAAGTTATGCTTCATAAACTCGCAAGTCGAAAATATTTTCCACTAGGTTATGATAAACGTTTTGCAGAGCAAGACGCAATGGACGGGGGTTCTGCGTACGTATGCACACCACTTACTTGACTACAGGCTGAGTAGTGGTCTGCTGAAGTCTGGAGAAACTGGGCCTCAAATACGCCCTCATACACTGCCGACGAACTGACTCCCACTTCCATAAGCATCTCCAGAACTACACACGGGCAAGGCGAGATAAACATATGAACAATGTATGTGAGTGACATGTCGTATATATATATATATAACTGAAACATCTGCCGGTGGTAACTAATATACTTATTCAAAATGAGTTGCATACGTATACTCCTCACCCAACAAACAGTTGCTAGCATGGTTTAAAAACGTCATTTTTGTGGGCAAGGTCTCACGCTTATACCGTATAACTTATGAAACGCAACTATGCAGCATAACTCATAGGACGAACCCCTCTACCATTCCACAATAGAGTGATTCGATGGAATGACAACAGATAAAGCAATATATATAAATGTCCTACCCTCCCCCCCCTCCCTCCAGCGCTGATGTAGTACATATCTCCGAGACCACACCTGTTACTCGCCCCATTGGCATATTTGTACGTGCCTGAACTGCACGGATGTCACGACCAACAACGTTATATGTCGATCTGTACTCTCATGACACATGCCAGCATACCAAATGCCAACATACCATCCGTGACCAAAGACCGGTCTGTTGTTTAACAGGCGCGTTTCATCGACTTCAACACGTGCTCACATTCGATTAAACATAGTATTTTCTCATCTCCTATACCTACTATTGTAGCTTGTGACGATTTTATCCGAATGCACAACGATCACATACGGCCCTTGACCAACGACAGTTATCTCATCTCGCAACCCTTTCCATATCAACCATATCACTTAATATATCCACAGGCACAACGACTACATACCCGTCCTTAACAAGAGACCGGTCGATCATCTCGCATTCGTTCCATATCAATCATATCACTTTATACATGGTATAGGTACGCACAAGACGGGCCCAGATGTCAGTTTGGTCCACAGATGGCCAACGGGATTTAGTCCAGACCAGACCCGTACTACAAATATTTCACATGCACAACGATTACATACCGTCCTTGACCAGGGACCGGTCGATCAGTTCACTGGCGCGTTCTTTGGCAATACTCTCCAGCAGGCACTCCTGGATGAAGCTCTTGTTCTGCACCTGGTCTATGACATGCTTGCGGAATAAGGACAGGCCTGGACAAGGGGGTAAAGAACACATACTTCGAGTCAATGACCTGTAGTACGGCGCCCCAATACACTACTACAGCGAGCATATAAACTTGCACTGATACTTGGTGCAAACAAGCATAGGCGACAGCACACGGAAAGAAGAATATTCATCCCACTGATGCATCCTAGCCCATACCGATTGGCATTACAGTGCAATTACAGCCCCATACAATGACCAGTTTGCTATTGTTATCTCTTACCAACTGAAGCATCCAAGTAAAACACTGGCCAGTCAGAAGTACATATCCTTCAAATGGTACCTCCTCACCTACCCAAGTCTTATACGGTTAGCACCTGTCCGTTCTTTGCCACATATTGCTTGTCCAAGTACAAATAATATCATAGCCCCATACAATGACCAGGTTGCTAATTTAATCCCCTACCAACTGAAACATCCAAGTAAAACACTATCTAATCAAAAGTACAGATCTTTCAATTGGCACCTCCTCACCTACCCAAGTCGTATACGGTTAGCACCTGTTCGTTCTTTGCCACATATTGCTTGTCCAAGTACATGAGAATATCCCTCACCATCAGCATAGATATTCGGTGTTTATTCCACTGCAGTGTTTATTCGAATGCGGAAGGGTGTGGTGAGTCTGAGCGGACTATGACGTAGGTCAGCAGTCGGAGGTATTTGGAGAGGTAATTAATTTTATGTTTGGATTAGTTTCGGGTGCTCGCATATGTCAAATATGCTACAACCACAAGACAACACACTATGATGTATACACCACTCACTACAGCCCTACTGAGGGCAGGGCAGGTGCGGAGGGGATAGGGCCATTCACAATACACTACTCCTCTGCATCTCACATCACACACACCCACAGCATGCGCGGAATGGGGTACAGTCGATGGTTGTTCGTATGCTGGACTATAAAGAACTGTTCAGATTGTGTATATAAGATACTTTTAAAAAACACCTTATATATACACCCCGTTCTCCTATGTACTCAAATGATGCGCACTTGTTGTATACCCGTAAGCTAAATTAGACAGAAACATTCAGATGATGAACATACTCTACTTCGATACATACATCTCTATACAGAAACATTCAGATGATGAACACACTCTACTTAGATACGTAGCTCGATGTACAGAAACATTCAGATAATGTGCATACTCTACTTAGATAAGTAACTCCAATAAACGAAACATTCAGATAATGAAAATACTCTACTAAGATACGTAACTCCATTTACAGAAACATTCAGACGATGTAAATGCTCTACATAGACACATATCCTTATACAGAAACATTCAGATGATGACCATAATCTACTTTACTACATACACCCTTTTGTAAAAACAAATGATGTACATACTCTACTTAACTACATAACACCTTATGTATACCTCATTGTTAAGCGTGGGCAGGAAATCGGCCTTGGTGCCGTTCTCCGCCGCTGATCGGACGGTCTGGCACACACTGACGAGGTGTTCTGTCAGTACGGCTTCTAACCCGTTGTATAACATTGTTTCGTGCTTGTGTAGCACCATGTTGTAAGCATTTCGGTACAGTTCCTCGTACGACAACCCGCTAGCGTCTATGGGGAAGGGGGGGAGTGGTTGTAGGTATAGATGAGTATAGATGGGTATGGGTCAATAGGAGCACATAGTAGGAGCACATACTGTATATTGTGTGCTGTACAACGGTGGACTTGACACCCCTGCCAGGACAAACTTGACACGAAGACGAGCAACAAATATCCACAGCCAAAATAGCGCCCACAGTGAATTCCGCATCCTTCCAGTTCCTGAGATGATCAGCTCAATAGTAACACCAAAATAACGAACACAACAAGGGCCCCAACACTAAACCGTCCCGTCTGTTTGTATGTCATTACGCTTAGAGGCTGATTCGCATGTACAGCACATGTACAGGACACGCAACAGAGCCGGCAAGCCCCAAAAAACCAACACACAATGACCTCGCAATATGTATGCATACGTTAATAGGTCAGACATGGTCGTGTATGCCAGAGAAAACTCACCTTGTTTGTGTATTTTCTGGATAGCACTCTTCAGCAGCCTCCAAGATGCTTTAGCCTATAATAAATAGAAGGAAGAGCACCATGAAATTAGACTGTTGGAAAAAGATATAAATAGCCAATACTGTCCATAACGTAAATTAATAATTAATTGCGTCATGAACTGGTATATTTGATCTCATAATAAGGCAGTGCCTGTATTTATAAATTTATGACTATAAAACTTACCCATAAATAATATACATAAAAATATATATATACACATACATAAATATATAC